GTGCTAGCAGGATGGCTAAGTTAACTGCTGGGCCCTAGAGTTGAGGAAGGAGGGTCAATTCAGAACCCATGGCTGAGAGTGGGACAGGGAAGTTTCCCAAGAGAGTCTGGTGGGCTTGGTGGAGGAGGTGAGATGGAAGCTGAGAGGCAACAACGACAGTGACAGATGCCACCACTTGAGATGATTAATAACATCAACCAGTAAGTCCTCCCTGCTGCCCCAGGCCCATCTCCTCTGTTCTGTCTTTAGTCCAAGCCTGGGGGAGGGGAGACTACGGAATCTCCCATCCCCCACCATACTGCCTCGAGGCTCCATTCATTGGCCAAGAAGGACCTCCATCTGGGATTCTCTTCTCTGACTTGTGAGATTTCCTACCATGACCTTGAGCAACACACACATGTTGTGTGTTTCCCAGCATTGCACGCACCATTGTCACACCACTTGCTGCATTGCTGTGGTTCAGTTTTCATGTCTGACCTCCCCAAACAGGTACACGTGTGTGCGCACACACACACATACATACACATAGGCATGCGTGCGTGTTCCTTCAAAGCACGAACTGAGTCTTAATTAATCTCTCTGTTCCCAGCTTCTAACCACTGCTGAGCTTGAGAGAAGGAATCCACTGAATATTTATTGAATGAATGAACATTTGTTGAATACTCGGTTGCTGCATAGTAGGTATTTGCATTTTTGCAAAGGACAAAATAGCAAGTCAAAGAAACAAAGCTCCGGTGTTGGAATTTCAGGCACCAGTGCACTGGGTCTAGAAGCTTCCTCTTTTGTTTAGTGCCTGGGGGAGGAAGTGGCTGTCACAGCGAGTGGAATCTTCCATTCATTGCTTTCCAGGGCAAAATTAGGAAAACAATCACATTGTCTCTGGAAAAACATGGATGTGTCATGGAAACAAATGTGTTTCCCTTTGGTTTTCTGGGGAGAGAAAACTTCTCTATTCCTGTCAGGTTCTCCTGCGGTGGAACCAGTCAACAGAGCACTCCTTCCAAACGTCCCTGCAGGTTGGGAGGGCCATGCCTGGCTGATCTGGGGCCATGTGGCCATCTGACCTCAGCCTCCTGTCACCAGCCCTGCCTAGGTGGGGCGTCTCATGCTCTCTAAGAGTTGAAGGAGCCACATTTCACAGTCCAGATGTTTCCACATCAAGTCCACAGGGCTGGCTGCTTCTCACAAGCTGACGTGGGACCTGTCCTGACCCTTGGCCCCTCTCCTGGCCCTCTGGCAACCCCCGCACCCATGCCACAGCTCTATGCGCTGACCCCACCTGCCCTCAAGCACATTCCTTCCAGCCCAACCACCTGCCCTCTCCCTCGACTTTGCCCAGAGCAGTCTTCCTCAGCAGGAAGCTGACTGGTTGTCTCTGCTAGAAACCCTTCCCAGGCCCCATGGTTATCTGGGGTCACAGCTCCAAATCTTTAAATCTTTAATCCTGCACCAGCCAGGCGAGTACTCTCCCTTGCTTTGGCCCCCTTCCCTCTGCCTGGGTGCCCTCCCTCCCTGTTGCCCTGAAAAGGTCTTCTTCACTCCCCACACCCCAGCTCCATACTCCCTTCTCACTCTCCACCTAACCCCCCACCACTGAGCCACTCTGTCTCCACATGTGAGCCCTCATTACCAATCTCTTCATCTAAACCCCCATAAGCAGAAAATGTTACTAGGCCCAGGGCTTTCCCTCTGAGTGTCAGGAGAGCCAGGGAAGGCGGGGAGCCCAAAGCAGCCTCTGGCCTCCAGAAGGAGCACTGTCAGGGAGGACAGGGCCAGGGAAGCTGGTGGCTGGGGCTCCAGCTACACAGCACTGGGACCAGGACCGCCTGCTCTCTGCCCCACCCAACTTCTTTCCAAACTGGGTCCTACTGGTCCTACTGACCCGCCTCCAGGACACAAGCCTGTCTCTGAGCCCACCCTGTCCATGAGCAGCTCCTCCCCGAGTCCCCAACTTTCCCCTGTTCTCTTACTGCCCAGTCCCAAGTGCTCCCCTCTGGGCAAGCATCATTGGGCCCTAGAGCTGCCCTGACCCCCCTATTTCTGGGTCTCCTTCTCTACCTCCTGGCCTGAGATCTGAGCCCATTCCTCCTCAGCCTTGTTCCAGCCAACTGGGAATAAACCAGCCCAAAGCAACCTGAGAGGGATGGAGAAAATCAGAGGAAACTGGATTTGAATCCTGGCTCTGCCACAAGCTAGCTGTGTGAGGTTCTTGAAGAGCAAACACCTCTCGGGCAGCTGTTTCCTCTTCTGCTAAGTGGAGATAAAAACCCCTCCAGGGGGTGTCCTGAGCATGCCTCATCTTACTGAGGACACTGCAGCTCCGGCCACTAGGCCTCACCTTCATTTCAGTTCCTTTCTCCTCCTCCTGCCTTTCTTGAACACGAGGGGAGGCTCCTCCCTGAAGTCACACAGGAAGCCAAGGGGCCAAGGTCAGTCAGGGACTCCCAGAGAAGTGTTCTGGCCATGACACAGCACACTGGGGTAAGAATTGTGCCCACCTTTGAGTGTGGGGACCCTCTGAGTTCATCCATAGGGAGCCCTGAGGACAGCCCCAGCACATTGGCCCTCTGGGGAAAGGATCCTAGCCTCAATCTTGGATGACCCATTGACAACCTTGAGGGGAAGTTAGGGGTGTCTCCATGGTGACATGCTCAGGAATGTGACAAATATTTAACTCTGCTTGATTCCACGCGTCACTTCTCCCAGGGAGATCATAACATTTTGACAGCTCTGATGAGCCCCAGGACTCAAGTGTATATCAAAGTGCCACTGGAGTGTCAGGCAGACCTCACCTGTGTGCCTCGAGCTGGGGGTACTCATTTTGTCCTGTATTTGTCAGAGAGGCTGTTCCTCATGGCAGCAGAGGTGAGGAAGGCCTTGGAGGTTAAGGAGAACCTGGACCCATATTATTCTGTCTACCTGTCTGTTAATAGGAGCGCTTCTCAGTGTGTAATTGGCTGAACAAATGAATTCATCTGATTGGTCCAGCGGATTGGGGATGGCTGGTGATTGGTTTCTCCTGTGGTCACCTGTGACTACAGACAGTTGTCTGGTTGGCTGTGATAAAGACCCCATCCCCAACCCTGGGTTATTTTAAGGCTCCACCTTCCTATGGTTTTTTTATCCTCTTTGCAGTCCATGGGGAGTCTAGTAGAGGCCCAGAGACCTGGTGAGGGCCCCGATTCCAGGGGCCATGAGGACCATGGTGGTGGGGTGGGTCCTGGCCTGGCAGCTACTCCCAAAGAGCCAGAGGAGCTGATGAGGCAGATTCAGGCTTTTCTGCTTCCTCTGCTTGCCTTTCCCTGTTATCACCCAGAGTGCTTGCAAAGTAGACCTAGACCGCTGGCTCAGGGGGTCTCACTCTCACCTTCTGTGAGATTACGGGGGCTGCAGTCACAATAGGGAGACCCTTGTTTCCTTTATACCACAGAGAAGACAGCCGAGCATTTGACTTGCTAGCACCCCACTTCCAGTTCCTTGCATAGGGATAACGGAATCTTCTTTGGGAAGAGGAACCTTCTGAGTGATGCAGCTGGTGCTGCCCTCCAGGATGGGTGCACACTGACCCATCTTCTCTGAGGTGGACACTTGGAGGGGCAAGGACCTTTTCCTCTAGGTCATGACTTGTGGGGACCATGGAGGCCTGGGATGGCAGCTTCTTCCCTCCAGTGAGGAGAAAGCTTGCCTGAGAAGGGCATCGACACAGAGGGAAGCAGAGTTAAGAGAAGGGAGGAAGGAGACAGAGCCCCAGGGAGAGGATGCAGCTGCTCCCGGAGTCAGGTCCATTCCTTAAGTCCTTGAGGAGCACCTTCTGCCTAAAACAAGCCATAGGCAGAGGGTGGAACCCAAGTCCAGGCGGAAGCCATGCCTGGAGGGGAGAAGCAGAGGGGCTGCAGAGCTGAGGGTGGGCACTGTCAGCAGTTTTGAGGCTGAGGCCCCAGCCATGCCAATCTGGTGGCCAGTCCGGCCACCCCTCAAGCTGTCCCCACAGGGCCTGAGGTGCTGGGCAGTTGCATTTAATCTGGCTAGTCCACTCACACAGCTCCGCCATCTGTCCGGGCCCTGTCAGCATTCATCATTGGGATCCTTCATAAAAGTCAGAGAGTCTTAGACATGCAGAATTTGAGAATCTTAGAATTTATCACTTCATTCAATAAATGTTTTCTGAATGTCCCTTTTGTGCCAGGTGCCGTGCCGGGTGCTGGGTGTTAGGGGTTAAGGGAAAGGCTTGTTCTCAGCTTCATCTTTTTATCCTCCCAGAGGGGAAGGAAAGGTCAGGTTTGTGGGTGATCTGGCCTGGGAGGGGAGGGCAGATGGAGGGCCATGGGGGGATTATCCTGGCCCAGGGAAGAAATGGGAGGTGGCAGGTCCAGAGAGCGCCCCTCACCCACTCCAAGGCTATGGGCTCTGTCCCCTGGAGGTCCCACGGCCTCTACTACAGTGGCCCAGGAGGACCCCCCACCCACCCACGTGCACTGCTGTGGGCAGTTGATTGGAGGGAGGTGGGAGTGGAGTGGCCCCCATCAGAGGCGGCAGGAGACAGTCCTCCTGAGGCAATGAGAGACCAGGTCACCTGCTCTGAACCACTCAGGCCTCTCATTCCTACCAACTCTGGGGACATGTGCCTGTGGTTCCAGGCCACCAGCCTTCGGCACTGATGGGCCTCCACAGGGGTCACAGAAGGAGACCTCCGGCAGTGGATGAAGCCTCCCCAGCCGCTCAGTGGGGTCCTCCAGGAAGGAGCCTCCTTGGAAAGGTTCTGATAACTGAGACAACCTGTCCTTAGACACTGGAGAAGATGTTACCCCAGGTTTAATTTTTAACTTCAAATACACAATCACGTCAACAAAATAAGCGGTGTGTCTTTTGATATTTATCCTTTTTAGTTTTAAGCATGAGATTTTATTGCTGTGAAGCAAATGGGTTCTTTCAACCCAGTCAACCTCAGGACCCTGACGAAGTTATGGGCCTGATTTTCTCTGGTCTCTTTGCTTCTGCAGACTGGTTCAGCTTGCCACCGAGAGGAAACAGCACAGAGACTGATAATGAGATGTAGCGATGCCTTGAACTTCTTGCCCTGAGCTGCGCTCCTCAGAGGTAACCAATTTTGACTGGGTTAGCTGTTTCTCCCACCAGTTTTCTCATGAAGTGAAATAATATGTTAGTAACTCTATTTCTGGGCTTCCTGCTAGAGAAGTAAGACCTTAGTCCCTTCTCCACCAGCCTGTCTCCTCTTCTGCCCACTTTAATGTATTTTTATTTCTCTTTTGGTTATCTTGGAAACTTTAAGTCAGGGGCTTCTATCTTTACTTCTGTAAAGAATAACATTACAAGATGTGAGGTAAAGGGGAGTAGCAGTTATTGGCCCACGTAAGCAGAAGATACAGGGGCTCTCATGGGCAGCACGGCCTGGGGCTGGCTATGTCTCCTGCCTTTGATATCTTATCTGGTCTTCCCCCCATGCCAACCTCCTTCCCAGGCTGACTTTCATCACACTGTGGGGGAGATGGCTTACACTTTTGGATTCTTTCCCTGTGATGAGAGGTTCTCGCTAAACAAGCCAGGGGTCAAAACCATAGTCAAGGGGAAATGAGTCCCAGAAGGGAGAAGGGAAGTTGCCAAGGCCAACCGGTTAATCATCGGGCCTCCAGGCAAGCGTTTATTAATTCTTGCTTTGTGCCAGGTCCTTTGTGCCAGGACTGCAATGTGACCCAAGACTAACACAGGCTCTGACTTCCTGGAGTGGAAGGTGTGTTGGGCAGACAGATGTAAAGAATACCATAAATTAACGTGAATTTGCTGCTGTGAGGGAGAAAGGTGTAGGGAGGCATAAGAAGGGGGATTTGACTTTGTCACACAAGGTCAGAGAGGATGTCCCTGAGGGGATGACAGCTGAGCTGGGATTAAAAGATAAGAAGTAGGTTGGGGGAAGTGGGGTCAAGAGAGCACTGTAGACAGAACAACCTGTGCAAAGGCCCTGTGGCAGAAGAAGGGTGTCACTCACAAAGGACTGAAGATGTCCAGAGATCTGGAGAGTGGGTGGTGGGGGGACATGTTGGGTGTCACCCCAGGAAGGGGGTGTGTGTTCAGGGCCTTGCAGGGCAGCAGACTGAGTCTGTTCTTTATCCTAAGAGAAGAGAAGCCATGAGCAGGGCAGGGAGGGCCAGAGGAAAGGAAGTAAATGACCAGTTATATGTTCCGGAAAGATACCTTGGCTGCCACATTGGGAACAGATTGCAGTGGGCAAGTCATGGGACTGGAGCCTTGCTAGGAAGCAGCTGTTTCTGGAAGCAGCATAAGTTAAGCCAGAGCTTCCTGCTGCCCCACTGCACCTGCCCCCGGAGCCAGCAGACAGGACACCCTCTTTTGGAAGAACCCAAGAAGTCTACAAAATAACTTTCACGGGTCCAGGGTAAAATGTGAAATCACTAGAAGTATGAGAATGTGAACACAAATCAGGGCAAGGGCAATCCATGAGGATGATCCAGACGTGAGGATTATCAGACGCAGATTGTAAAGCAGTTATTATAATTAAACTCAGGGTGGTAAAAAATATGTTCCGAATAATGAATAAAAAGACAACTCAGCAGTGAAATAAAGCTATAAAAATGAAATGTGAAAATGGTAGAACTGAAAAACGCAATATTTAAAAATGAAAGTTCTAGATAGGGTAATAGAAAATCAAAGAGAGAAAGAAGAAGGAAGAAATTGAAGACGCATCCATAGCAAGCTCTAACCCAAAGATTCCAGATGCCCAGGCACCCACAGGGCCAGCTGTCAGACACCTGCGCCCCCTCCTGGGATGTTCAGTGCAGCCCAGGGAGTGCCACACCGCCCACCCCAGCACATGCTTCCAAGGCCAACCTCAGGTCTGTCCTCTCAGAGGATTCGGGCCCAGTGGACTTGGTGCTGTGTTGGCTGATTTTAACACAGACAGTGAAAGACCCACACTGGAGAGGTTCTGGGGTTATCTACTTTGCAGGTTGAAGGGAGAGCAGCAGGGAGCAGCAGTGAGGTGCAGGAGCCAGCTCTCTGCCGTTTACAAGGTGAACTCCTGGGGGTGCTTTAGCCCAAGGAAAGGGGAAGCAGAATGTGGGCACAGGTGGGGCATACCTTGAAGGGCTAGACAGGGAGGGAAGCCTTTCCTGTCCCCTTGGGGGACGGAACCCCATGCACAGGGAGGTAGATTATCACTGTGTGACCACCTGGGAAGCCTGGTCCAGGACCATCCTGCACCCCCCTCCACGGCCCCCCACAAGAGGGCTGGGATCTGTTCTTTTGGTCTGGAAGAGGGAAACAGTGGCAAGAGTGTGGTCACCTCTATGACTGTCCTCAGCCCTCATTTGTCTCATTCACTCCTGGGGACCATTCAGCTTCAGGAGGGGCTCCCAATGTCCCCAGCTGGGACTGGCCAGGTTCCAGCATCCAAGGGCATGATAGGTGAACTCACTCTATGTGGAAACAGTGGAGTCCTGGGATCCAGGACCAGCAAACCCTCCTGAAACACATTCTTAGGGGCCCATGTCCTGATTTCTGTCCTCACTCCACTGGTCTAGCATGTGACCCTGGGCAAGTCACTTCCCTTTTCTGAATCTGGGGTCCTGCTTTTATTGGGGCTGGGGGGCAGAGTGTCCTAGGGTTTTGTGAGCTCATTCTTTATCGGTGAATTTAAAACGTCAAAATGGAAATTTAAAGCCCAGGAAGAAAGACAAAAGGGGGGAAAATGAGAAAGATGTCAGCCCCAGCTGAGCAGTCATGTGAATCAACCAGGACCTGTAACACAAAGGGGCGGCGGGGGCTGGCTCTTAGCGCATCACGGCTGACATGTGCCTGTCTGAGTCAGCCCTCTTCCAAGCCGTGCCCAGCGTTGGCATCAAAGCTTAAGTCAGGCATCTGCATGACAAAGAGAAATGCCAGCTGTCAGGGCTTAACCACACTTTGTCAAGTGCCCACTTGGCTGGGCTCAGTCCATCCCAGAATTCCCTTTCCCCTGTGCTTCCTGCTTGGACCAGGACACCCCCAGAGGCTCTCCTGAGAGCTGGCATCAGTGTAGGGGCAGCAGCTGCCGCAGCCACGTACTACTCATCTGCTGACCCACCTGCAGTGGGAAGTGAGCTCAGCCTGCAACCGCTCTCCACCTCTCAGATCTTCCTTCTCGCTGTCTCCTGGGCCAGATGTGTGTGTGTGTGTGTGTGTTTGTGTGTGTTCAGCTCTGTGACAAAGGGCCCAGCTTCTGCAGATACACTTGTCACCAAGATCAGAGTCAATAAGAAAAGACATGGTTTCAGCCGATCCTCAGGGGCTCCCTTCCAGCCTGTGATCTTCCCTTCCCGCTGCCTGCCCGTGCGTGGACGTCTCGGACATGACTAGCCTTGTAGACTGCTCAGCAGCCACAGTTATTGGAGAAGCTGATTCTAGTAAACCCCTTAGTGTGTGTGTGTGTAACTACTGGCTCTGCTTCTCTGGTGGAACCCTAATGGATACAGATAGGAACCATTACTACTACCCCCATTCTCTACGTGAAATCAATAAACCAGTTCTGCAGATAAAGATATTGCGGTATAGGTCTCCAGTTTCAGGGTTCTCTGTGGAGAGGGACAATTATGTTCCAAAATGTACCATACCCAGAACCTCACCAGACACCTGGCTTGGAGGATTTAGATGATGAGATTTGGGGCTTTTGAGCTGCTGAGATTTAAATGAGCATTTGCATGGTGTGTTGATGCGCTAAATGGTTGGAGCCTGGGGGTGAGGGGTGGTGGTTGGGATGGGGTGAATGAATGTTGCTTGCAAGATAGGCATGAATCTTTGGGGCCAGGAGGTAGTTGTGACGGGCAGAGTAATGGTCATCCAGAGATAGGCTAATCCCCAGAGCCTGGATATCTGTTCTCCTGTAAAAAGGGACTTTGTAGATATGATTAAATTAAGGATCTTGAGATCACTTTGGATTTTCCAGTTGGGTCCAAATGTAATCACAAGGGAACTTATAAGTGATAGAACTTATAAGTGTAATCACAAGAGAACTTATAAGTGATAATCCCACGTGAAAGAAAGTGATAGATAAGTCAGGAAGGAGATGGGGTGACAGACTCAGATTGGCAGAAGTAGCGCCCCGATCAAGGCAAGTGAATAGCTTCCTGGATCCATGGTTTGGTGCCGGGCATTGATTTGGGGAATCTCTCTCTCATTATTTCAGTCGTTTCGCCTGTTCCTTTGTCACTTTCTTCTGATAGTCCCATCATGTGTATGTTACACACCTTTTGTAGTTGTTCTGTCACCCTTAGTCTGTACTTTTTTGGGGTTTTTTTTGTTTGTTTTTGAGTTGTTCTCTTTCCTCTTTGCTTTTTGTGGATTCTATTGATATATCCTCTGGCTCAGAGTTTGTTTTCTCAACCATGTCCAGTCTAATAATTAGCCTGATCACAGGAATTCTTCATTGTGGTCATAAATGTTTCTATCTTTATCATTTCTTCTTCTTTTTTTTTTTCAATAGACCTCACCTTTTTTCTTTGGTATTTCTTTCTTAAGACTTCAATCTTGGGCCTCCCTGGTGGCGCAGCGGTTGAGCGCTGGGCTGCAAAGCTGCCCGCAGCCTCTGCAGTGCCGGTTCAATCCCTGGCTACCGGCGAGGGCATGGCGCACAGACCTCTTCTGGCATGCCCGTTGCTCCCCTCAGAGGTGTACTTTGGTCCTTCTGCCTGCTCTGCTCCCTGCTCTGGCTCTGGTGAATTCTCTCACCCTCCCGCGCTTCTGACTATACCCAGTGCTTGTATAAATAAATAAATAAATCTTTAAAAAAAAAGACTTCAATCTTTCTGTGCATCCATTCTCGGTATATAATCTATATTATTCATTAGAGCCCTTAGCATATCAATCATAGCTATTTTAAATTCCTATGATAATTCCCACACCCTGCTGGGTACGCTTCTGGTGCTCACTCTGTTTTTCCAAGGTGCGCTTTTGTCTGTATGCCCTGTAATTTTGTCTTGATAGCTGGACATGACATACTAGGTAAAAGGCTTTTAGTAAGTGTGGTAGTGAGTATGCAGGGAGGAGAAGCTTTCTGTAGTCCTGTGATGAAGTCCTGATCTTTTAGA